TCAGTAACTTGCTTGAGTAGAGAAGTTACTATACTATAGAAGTTCTTAAGCACTATGGGTAGAGATAAAGATCTTACCTTTATCCTAAAAATAATAGCCATATTTATAGTGGTAGTAGAGGGGTAGGATGGTAACTTTGACCAAGTATGTACTGGCGGCCAAGTCAACATATGCTTTACAGGTGTCGGGCGACAAGTGGAGGGGAGGTCGCTTCCGCATTTAATATGAAGTGACTAGGGGAGTGTGGTGCTGATGTGGTCCGATGTGTCATAAAGACTATTGAGGATAGAGAAATGATAACACCGATCATGCATTTAATGGCATTTATTGTGTAAAACCCCGATAATTTATGAATAATAAAATTAATATGTGATAAATTATGATATATGGATATTTAGTATGATAAATATCATTTAATGGTATATGAGTATAATACCATATGTTTTGAGTATGAACGAGTTCATACATGAGAGATAGAAGAGTTGAAACATGCACAAATGGCCAAACTCATGAGAAACTGGAAAATCCCAGTCCGGTCGACCGCCACGGTCGATCGCGATACCTGCAGTTTGTTTTTTCTCCTGTTTTGAGTTGGTTTTAGATTTCTAAACCCATATTCGTTTTCCCCTGATATATATATGAGTTTTTCACGATTTTCTCAGTTTTCCTAAGAACTCTAACAGCCACCAAAACCCCCCAAACCCTAGTTTGATTTCTTGAAGAAGAATGAAGGTTTTCAAGTGGATTTTCGGGTGATTCTTAGCTTTTGGAGTGGAGATCTTTTTCAACCTTGCTTCTAACACGTTTTCCTGCAACCAAAGGTGAGTATCATCTCTGCTAATCCCCCTCCTAGTTTTCAAAACATTTTTAAAGAGTTTTAAACATGTTTTGTAGAGCCTAAATGACTAGTTTATGAATAAAGTAACTTCTTTTGTATTATATGTAAAGAGACTAGGTCTTTCTATGCTAAAAAGGTTGAGAACGATTTTTACAGAAGTATTTAAGACCTGAAGATGATTTTAAAATGTGGTTAATCTGAAGAAAGAAGTTTGATTCGTTGTTTTGAGCTTTTATGCATGTTTTAGGGTTTTGAATACAAATCAAATGCATAAAATTATGTTTATAATTGTTGAGTTGTTTCCAGATGTTCATATCTGTTGTGACATGGTTGCATACAAATTTTATAAAGATTTAGACATGTTTACATCGAGAAAACACGACATGAACACGACACACACACAACCAATTTGGAAAACTAGAAACAGGGTTCACAGTCGACCGTCACGGTCGACCACGTGCAGGACAGAGACCTGGGTAGTCTCTGGAGCCCGTCGCGGTCGACCGTCACGGTCGACTGTCATTTTGTTTTGGCTGTGCATGTTTAGTTGAGTTGGATTTTGGGTTGATGTTAGTAATTGTTTAACACCTGGGATGATGGTGAACTTCAGACGAGGACACGCACACCGAGATTTATGCACGTATGCTAGATTGTGTTAGATTTACACACTTTTGACATGAGATAAATTGATGAACACATATTGAATAATGTCGTTCTATACGTATCCGGAAATAGGAAGATGAAACATATTTGCCGCAGAATGATTGAGTAAAAGTATTACAAAAGTATCGTTATTACACGTATCCAGAATAGGGAGATAATAAAACCTATTGCTGCAGAACGATTGAGTAAGAGCATTACAAAAGTATCGCTATAGCACAAGATGATGCACACATAGATATTTGATCAGTTATAAGTTTTACTTCCATGATAGACTACCCGTGAGTAGGGTATTTACTTTGAGATTTTGGTACACCCGTTATGGATGGCAGTTATATTTCGTTTTGTTTTGGTTGGCATCCTCTTATATTAGAGCAGGCTACTCGGATGTACTTCGAGATGAGATATTTATTCTTTATGTTGGAGATTGGAGTATGTTTTCCTTGACTATTTATTTTTCATTCATGAAGAGCTATATGAATGATTTGATATATGTAAGTACTGACTCTATTTTCTATATATATACTCCTACCCCTTTCCCTGGGGAGAGGTAGTGATGATCTCGCTAGCGCTTTGACGCTCGTTGTTTTCCCTCTTTCAGACAGCGAGTCCGACGCACGGAGAGTCGCAGGTTGATGAGACATCTTAGTTGTCCGTTTAGCTATTTATTATATTTTGTAGTTATTGCAGAACTCCACATGTAGTTGATTATTTTTCAGACTCTAGATTGGTATTTTATTTTAGAGTTGAGAACTCTTGTGAGACTTTGTTTATTTGACTCATTGTATTTGAGACTCAGTTCAGACTCAGAGATATATCTATTTCATTCCAGTTGGGCTCATTATTAATATCTCTTATGCTTCTTCTGTGTATTTTCGGTGTTGTTCTATTTCTAGTTTTGCATGTCTGTACCTTCATCTTTTTATTGTTTCCACTAGAGAGATAACGATTGTGATGGTGAAACATGTCGTAGCATGGTGTTTGGTGCTTGGCAGGTTTGACAATCCAGGTTTCATCTGGAACTGCAGTCTTGTGTGAACCTTGGGGCGTCACATATTGTGAGGTGATCAGCTGTCAGTGAGTGGGAAGGGGCTTGATGTAGTCGTCACCTTTCTACTCGTATGGGAGAAGGTCGAGAAATACAACCTTTTGAGTCGCCTTCCCGAGATGTCGGCCGAATGGTCGGTCGAGTGGTTAATTAAGGGCTCAACCTAGCCAGGAGTCGACATGTAACGCCTTTTTGAGTTTCGTGAGATGTCGACGTGTCTAGTCGTCTAAGCTTGGTCTTTGGTTATCTTGATGTGAAGAGCTGGCTCGATTACACATAATGTGTGACACTTGTCTGCTATTGGTTGGAGTTTACTTTTTTAGCACTAAAACAGCTATAACAGTTGTTAACGGATATGTTGATTCTGATTATGAAAGTGATCATGATAAAAGTAAATCCACCACATGCTATGTGTTCGCACTTGCTAATGAAGTTGTAAGATGAATTTCAAAACTACAGTATGTTGTGATTACATCAACAACAGAAGTAAAATATGTAGTATCTACACAAACTAGTAAAGAGGCTGCATGGTTGAAAATAGTATTGGAGGAACTCGGGCATGAACAAAAGAAGATTTTTCTATTTTGTGATAGTCAGAGTGCTTTGCATTTGGCAAGAAATCTAACTTTTCATTCAAAGACAAAACACATTCGAGTTCAATACTATTTCGTTCGTGAGAAAGTAGAAGAAGAAAAAGCGGATATGCAGAAAATTCACACAAATGACAATCTAGCAGAATTAGTAACAAAGTCAGTCAATACTGCTAAATATGTTTGGTTTCGATCATCTTGTCATCTGACAAAAATTAGAGCAACATGAAAATGACAAGAAAAAAGAATGGTGTGAATATATAGTTGATTCTCAATCAATCATTCAAGTGGGAGATTTTTGGAAAGAACCAAATGGTGCCGCAACTGTTGACCAAAATAATTGTGGTACCAATTATTGAAGAGAACCAAATGGAGATACAATTGTTGACCAAAACAATTGTGGCCCACACCACATTGTTTTAGGAAGCCTCATTCCTTGATCTTGTTAGCGTTAGGCACAGAAATGACTAAAACAGAGCCACATTTGTTGATAATATGGAGCAAAGTTTGCCTATAAACCTATAAAATGATCAGAGTTCATTCTCATTTCAATCTATCCAATCTCCGAAATTTAAATAGAAAAGTGAGAGAATATAGAGAGAGTTTCTCCTTGTATTAGAGAGATATTGTAACTTCTAAGACTTTCCTCATAGTGAATTCTTATACTATTGCCCGTAGTTTTTACTCCAATTTATTTAGGAGGTTTTCCACGTAAAAAATTGTTTGTCCAGTTTATTATTTATGCACTAATATTAGCTACGACTCTGCTGCTCTATCTGGTCGATTTTCCAACAGATATAGCATCTCTGAGTATATATTCCAGCTAAAAAGTATACTGCATACAGCTTGAAGCATACAAATTCCAAGGACGATATGAGACCATACAACAATACATGGTGACTATTATCTTAGATGAGCTTAAAAACATGTAGTACATGGAACTTTTCTGGTTTCTTGAGAAATTTTGGAGGTGATCTTTGGTTACGTATAATAATACCTTTGGCGGTCCATATTCATAAATATGGCTCTTGTGTGTTAGAAGGCCAAGGCAGAGAAGAAGTATATGTTGATAAACTATGTGACCTTTGTACATATACCTTTATATACTTACCACATGTCCATTTGAGCTAAATATATATGCATATACCTTTGTATATATATTCGCTTTTTTTCGTAGCCAATATTGTTACAAATAATTTGTTGCTTACAGCATATTCAGCTACTTAGTTTGATGCTTGATTTGTTCTTGATATTGGCATCATATATTTGATAAAATGTGGCATCTATGGATTGACTGCACACCAAGGGTAGTGTTTTGTATAATATGGTTGAACCATTGAACTAAATGTGATTTTGATAGGTTTTTATGGAGTTTTGGAGAAAAAGAAAAGCCCCCCCCTCCCCCCCTCGCGCCCCCCCCAAGTTTACCTGTGATTATTGGATAACTGGATTCTTGGACAACTCTATTTCCAGAGTTAACTTCTTGATATGAGAAGGAAAGTAATCAACTTAATTCATGTAAGGTACCGTGATAAGGACTCAACAGGAAAGTAATGCACATAATTCACGTAAGGCTATATTACATCTTTCTTGGAATTAAAACAAGTTTAGCTTCAAATTTGGGGGCTTGGACAATGAGACTGGCACGTGCATTGCACGTGCCTTCCTCACTAGTATATAACAAAAAGTACGTAGGCATCCAATAGGCACCCCAAATTTTAGGTAGTAACCATCTCCCAGAACCACAAAGTTAAACCGATGACTTTTGAACTTGTAATATACAAATACAACCCAAAAAACAAACCCTCCGCTTATTAATACTCCCCTAATAATATACCAAACCCTTAACAATCTGGTACCTCCTTCAAATAACAAGAAGATCCGGCGGTGGTGATGTTGTCGGATCGGAGAGCATATGGACCACCTCCCTCATCGTGGGCCGTGCTGAGCTCTTCTCCTCGACGCATCGCATTGCCACTTTGTAAAGGTTGGTGATTGTGTCGATAGGAGATGGTGAGAGGCGGCGGTCTACCACCGCGAGCACTGCAGCAGCCGGGTCTGATTTTTCATTGATCTCAGAGGTGGTCTTTCGGACCCACTGGACAATGTCAACGCCGTCGCCAAAGCTGCCGACAGGGCGTCGACCCGTGATGAGTTCGAGGAGAACGACACCAAAGCTGTATACGTCGGTCTTCTCGTTCACGCTCAGTGTGTATGCATACTCTGCATTTATGAGATAAATAAGTTAGAATTATCTTAACGTTCTTGTTTATACAACCAAAAAAAACTGTGAAGCTAGCTTTGTTTGTTGCCACCATGAAAATTTCCTAGATAATCTATGATGTTCTTTTTCCATGATAGACAAATAGCAAGTATAGGATAGATTCAAAAAAATTAAGTGGTAGGAAGTTTCTAGATAACATCACAGGTTTGTAACATTTTTAGACAGATGATAGGGGTGTTGTATGTATTTCAACCAAAAAAAAAAGGAACGGAAGGGTTGAATTGGTTAAATCCATTAGGCAAGATGTACTTAATTCCTTAAGACCTTATTTGGCAAAGGGTTAAGAAAGAGGGGTTAAAGAGAATGATTAATGTATTTAACCCATTCGATAATCAGAAGGACTAAAATATTAAACTATTAAATAAGTTTTATTTTAGTCATTGTGATCAGTTTTAGTGTTTGAGAATAATAATGATTTTGACTATTTTCTTTATAATTAGAGGCCCCGTTTGGCAAAGGGTTAAGGAAGAGGGGTTAAAAAGAAGGATTAATGTACTTAGCTTATTCGATAATCTGAAGAACTAAATTATTAACCCGTTAAATAAGTTTTATTTTAGTCATTGTGATCAGTTTTAGTGTTTGGAAATAACAATGATTTTGACTATTTTCTTTATAATTAGAATGGTTAACTCTTAATCATTCTAAATAGGAGTATTAGTAAACCCCCAATCCGCTATTATTGTTTGTTAGATTAGGATCAATGCGTTAGATTAGATTGAGATTGTCACCTTTGACCAAACTTTAGGAAAGAGTTCCATTATGGGCGAGCAATAGGAGCAGCCATTTTTATTGGGTGTTGTCTCCCAATTACGGAGATTATGTGTGCTTAATAAAAGTTCTAGCGGATCTAGCTAGAAGTAAATACAGGTAGGTCAAGCAATGAAAAATACGTGTACAGTCAAAACACACACAGGGTATTAGCTAGTCTACTACTACTGGGCTCGACATAACTTTGGGAGCTACAGAGGACACAAAATACGACACCAGTCTACTTCTCTTGGGCATACCGATAGCGTACGAAAGTGGGGCATCAGGTTGCAATCTGAACCTGACAAAAACTTTTCCAAAAATTTAATAATAACAAAAAAAAACCCACAAATCCATCCAAAAACAGTCCACTGACTTGACAGTCACATCGAGCTCAATTGAAGGGGGGGCCTTTCCTCTAGACTCGCCAAATCTACAAAAAGTTAGAAAGGGTCCATAAAGACCAAATTTGTTTTCTGGTTTTAGTGGATAGGGTTTTTTGACTTTTTGTCATATTGGATCTCCTAAACTTTATCAAATTTTTAAAACAAATTAATAGATTTGAGGACGTAAATAGAAAAATATGTGAGCGTTATTTGAAGCAGCTTAGGGGGTTTTCAAAAAAAAGTTACTATTCTTTGAAAACAACTTTCACATACAAGTCTTCATGCAAGGGAAATGCAATTGTTTACTTGAAAAATAAAATTATCATTGAAATGTGAAATTGACGTGGGAAAATAGAATTAATTATTAAATATAATTAAAACTGGTTACTGTTTTTGTCACTTTAATTTAACTTCACCATTTTATAAGGGAAGCTAAAATTGCATTAAATCCTATGTGATAACTTTCTTACATTTGAACTTACATGCAAACAAACACCTAAAATGTTAAATAAAAAAATTATTTTCTCACTTTCATCTTTCTCTTACATGCAAACAGAACATCCCCTTAATAAAATTGGGTACAAACACACAACAACTAAAGATATATAATATTATATCTTATGTATATATTAAGTAGTATATAATGATATAATAGGTAGCATATTTTATTTTTATTTTTTTATTTTATTTTCTATCTTCATTGGGATTTTCCATATTAAGCTTCCAACTTATCTAGACCCAAAATCTAATAAGCCTCTAAACTTTACCAACTATTATTTCAATCCGTTAAAATCCCTTAACTTTTCCCTATTTTCTTGGGAAGCTTTTAAAACTCTTATTTCAATATATTAATCCCCTAAAGTTTTTTACTTTCAATCTATTTTATTCCCATGGTGGTTTTATGATGTAGAACACACTGCGGATATATTTATGGAGAAACTGGACCGTCAGAAGCCCAAACATACACCCTACAGAAAAATAACTTGCAACGAAGAACGGGTCAAATCTCCCAAGCCGTATGTTGAAATTGAACGAGGTATACATGAAAGCCGTATGTTGAAATTGAACCAAAGGGTTGGGTTTGCTTCCTCCGTTTCGCCAAATTCCTTACGATTTGAGAGATATCAGCATTTTTATCCATTCCTTATTATTTTTAGTAATGTTTTAGGAGTCTTTATTGATTAGGAAACAAATTCGATTTGATCTCAGATTTGACCGGTGAACTTTCCTAGTCATAAGGAGTCTTTTAGGAGTTTTAATGTTTTAGGAATTCTTTTACTATTTTTGGTAAAGTTTGAGTCCTTGTAGGAGTTTGAGTCTTTGTAGAAGTCTTGTTTCTTTTTCTATTTAAATAGAGTCTTGTAAGCCATACAGTCATTACTTTTAATTAATAAAATTGTGTTTTCTTCAATTTTACTTCGTAGATTCGAAGCTCTTCGTGGATTCCAAGATTATCCTTGGTGAATTCCGATGCTACTACTTCCGCGCTGCGTCAGAATTGGGATATATCAGAGTTTTTATAAACATTTTATTGTTTTAGGTAATGTTTTAGAAGTCTGTTTTGATTAGGAAACATATCCGGTTTAATTCCAAATTTGACCGGTTTGTTTCGCTAATCATAAGGAGTCTTTTAAGGAGAGCTATGTTATTTTTATTTCTGGTGAAGTTCGAGTCTAGTAAGAGTCTTGTTTATTTTTTGTTTAAGCATAGGAATGTAAGCCTTATAGGCATAACTTTTCATCAATAAAACTTCCTCTTTATTATATTTTCTTCATGCTTTTGAATATTGTTCTTTGTGGATTCAGAGAACCCTTAGTGAATTCCAAGATTTATTACTCATGCGTTGTGTTATTTTGAAACCCAAACACCAACCAAAGTACTATACAATTAGTGCAGAATTCGAATATTGTAAAAAAAAAAGTTATATATTTCTTATGATTGGAAGAGAAAAAGAAGGTACAAACTTTGATGGAAATTTTATAAGATGAATTTCTTTAGTCAAATAAGGAAGAGGGATTAGTGAGTTTTTTGTGTGACTAATTTAAAATTTTGTTTAGTTGCAAAAAAATATGCGTCTGCTGGAATATTTGTGTCCTCATTAGGATATAAATAGAGCAACTAAGTATCCATATCCAACAGGATATAGTTACAGAACAAATATACAGCGAAATGTCTAGGTCATATCGATACGAGTTTTCTTTACTAAAGATATATTTGTGTTCATATCCACATCCAAGATCGGCAAATGGATAGATATATGGT